GTTTTCTTAATAATTAATTACTAGCTGAACTCTTACATTGTAAAATAGTAAAGCGTAAAACGTACAATTTTTTGTCTTCCCTTTGTAGCATGGATTATCATTTGTAGTGTTCTGGTTCTTTATTAAATTTCAATATCAAATTCGGTTTTTTGTAAGTGGATGCAAATGGGTCATCTTAAGTCTCTAGTTTGCACCTTTATACCTTTTCAGTAGATAAGATAAACCGTTAAAATTCTGTGGGCAATGGGCGCAATGCTGCCAAAGTTCTGAGCTTGAAACATCTTTTTTTGTTGCATGTGAGAAGTGAGAATTCTCTCATCTAGCAGCAACACAAGCTTCCGTGGATGCAACATTCCTATCGCTCTTGTGTAACTTTTCGTGTTGTTTACCAGATGGTTCTGTCCAAGTTCGTTTTTCTTTCCTTGTGAAAGTCAGTAGGGAATTGGCAAGCTACAATGGAAAAGTTATCTTAGATTCGTATATCTTTGCGTTTAATTTTCTGCAAGACCACTTTTTATGTTTTTGCCTCCACCTCTTTGACCATTTATTCGAGTAATGATTTTAGAAATAATATGAACCTTATATGAAAGAACAAAAATTTCTTTCTGGATTATTGTGTTAGGCTAGGTTATGTTGTCCGATACATGCATGCCATTAGATATTTTCTTATGGTCATTAATGTTTCTGAACTGGATAATTGATCTCACGAGGGTTTTTATGTCTGTATGGTAATTAGGGATTGCCACCAGCAATGTAAGGCTCTTTTCTTATAATTCATTGAGATCAGCTACTAGGAATTTTCATCCATCAAGCAGGATAGGAGGAGGAGGTTACGGAGTTGTCTATAGGGTGAGATCAATGAAGCTTTTTATTTGTGTAGTAGGCTAATATGGAGCTAAAATAAGTAGCAAATCTTGGACCGTTAAGTCTCTTTGTAAGGCCAGCATTAAAAGACTCCAAGTGAAAGCTTTCCAACCCTAGATCTAAAGGTCCAAGATTGACTACTATACAAGCACCGCTTTCCTGTTTCTTTCTTACACTGTTATATCATTTGTGATTGCAGGGAGTTCTAAGAGACGGTACCCAAGTTGCGATCAAGTGTCTTTCTGCAGAATCTAGACAAGGAGCAAATGAATTTTTGACAGAGATTAACGTGATATCAAGTATGCGACATCCAAACCTTGTTGAGCTCATTGGTTGCTGTGTGGAGGACAATCATCGAATATTGGTATATGAATATCTGGAGAACAACAGTCTTGCAAGTTCTTTGCTTGGTAATTATTACAATATTGAAGTTTTTTGTTGTCTCAGATTTCATTATCCAAATTTTTTGATTGAAATGACATATGACCCTGCTTTTCTTCCCTTTTATCTTATCCTCTTGGAAGTTTTGATCTCTTTTAAATGTCTGATTAAGTTTTTGGATTTGTTCAAAGATGTAATGTTTCTCTTAAGGTAATGTTGCACCCTCTAATCTGTCAAATTTTCAGTGTATGCTAATATGCAACAACTATTTTGACAGGTTCAAGAAGTAACTATGTTTTTCTAGATTGGCCAAAGAGAGCTGCGATTTGCCTTGGTACAGCTACTGGTCTTGCATTTCTTCATGAGGAAGCTGAGCAACATATTGTCCATAGAGATATCAAGGCTAGCAATATACTTCTTGATGCAAATTTCCATCCCAAAATTGGAGATTTTGGGCTGGCAAAACTTTTTCCAGATAACATCACTCATCTTAGTACTAGAGTGGCGGGAACAGAGTAAGCTTGGATTCTCTTAAAGACTTCATTAAAATACAGCCTAGGCTATGTAGTTGTTCAGAAGTTTGTTTCTAAATGTGGTGTCTTGGGGGGTTATCTCAATAAATCAAATCATCAAATATTAAGTAATAACTTCACCTTCAATTTGGTACCGAGGTTTATGAAGTAGTTGCTCTTAAGCTGCCTGAAATTCAGTCAATAATCTTGTGGTGTAGAGGAGAGGATATTCCAATGGCCATTAGCAACTGATATATTATGGATGTTCTTTCTCCCATTTTCTCTATCTATTTGCCCCTCTATGCACTAACAATAATGTTCTGTGTCTGCAGGGGATATCTGGCCCCAGAATATGCACTTTTGGGACAGCTTACGAAGAAAGCAGATGTGTACAGTTTCGGGGTGGTCTTGCTTGAGATAATCAGTGGCAGAAGTAGTAGCAAGGCAGCCTTTGGGGAGCAACTGCTGGTTCTGGTTGAATGGGTATGATTTTCTAGTAAATTACATTGTGGTCAGCCAAAAACATAAAGGTTCTTGGGTGATGAGGGGTCTTTTCAAGATTGACAAAATATGTTTGGTTCAGTTTTCTTACTAGAACCACATAATTGTTGATGCAAGTTTTTACAAGTGTTATATTTTGAGTCTCACAATTATTTATATGCTTCTGCAGACATGGAATCTAAGAGAAGAAGAAAGGCTGCTGGAAATTGTTGATCCAGAATTGACTGCATATTCAGAGGCTGAGGTCATGCGGTTCATTAAGGTTGCCCTGTTCTGTACTCAAGGAGCCGCGCAACAAAGACCAACAATGAAGCAAGTGGTGGAAATGCTTTCCAAAGAGGTCCACCTAAATGAGAATGCCCTACTAGAGCCCCCAAAGTCAAGGGAGTGGGCATCCCGGAAGTTCGGCGGTCCCAGTTCGTCGGGAACATCATCCTCTCATTCGGGGAAACGCAAGCAATCATCGGCAAATCCCGACATAACTTCCACCCAATCACTGATCTACGACGACACCGAAACACAAATGCTTCCCAGATGATCAGTTCCAGGGTTTCATAATTATTTGCTCGAAGCTTGCAAAATTTGCAGCTTCTTGGCATCAAACAAAGGTTGTAGTATGCAAAGTGGTTGTTGATTTATTGAGTGAAAATAAAATGCATACTAATTTGAAAGAAATGATCATACCATACATTTCATTAAAACAAAAATTACTATTGAAGTTATAAATTATGATTAACTCTAGGATCATCATACAAAATCAACAATCTCTAATCACAATTAAATCTTTCTAAGCAGCAGCTACAGCAGCTTCATTAATCACAATTGCTTTAGCATCTTGTTTGGGTTGAGCTGTTGTCTCTGGTTTGGGCTTCATATGCTGAGGAGGATTGTAATTAAGCTTCACAAGAATCTGACGCATTCTCGAGAGGTCGGTTGGCTTCCCAGGCTTTGACCCTTGAACCACAACCACGGAAGCCTTCTTCTCTCTGTCTTTGTCTCTCTTCTTCCCCCTCTTCTCTATCGCTGCCACCTCGCGGGGTATAAGCTCTGCGATTGCTTTCCAGTAATTTTTCTCAGCTTCTGCTTGAAATTTCTCTTGATTTTCCACAAACACCTTCTCGCTTTCTCTGTTCGACGCTTTCTTCTTCTCAACGCTGAGCTGACGCTTCCTGTAGAACTCCACCTTGTAAGCCTCTGCTTCTTCGATTATCCTCTGCAACTTCTCTTTCTCCTCCTTCTCCTTCTCCTCCAACTCAAGTACGTTTCGTCTGCGCATTCAGAAACACCTTTGATCAGTTTCAGCTCTTACATCACTATATCAATCAAAATTCAATAGAAACTGAGTCTACTCGCTCACCTCCGCCACTCTTTCAGTGGGAAGCCCTCGTCTGGCTCCATCTCAGCCGGAGATGGCAACGACGGTCCTCCTTTGGAGTACATTGACGGCAGCGATTGAGTTCGCGGCACCGGATGAGAGCTGAACGCGTCGTCTCCGGCAAGGTATGGCTGGTTGGAGAAGATCGGCGACGAGTCGTTGACGGAGTCGGCGTCGAAGTTCGAGAACGAGTCGAATCGCTTGGACTCGAGCCGAGGATCGTAGCCCGTGAACCCGTCGTCGTCGAACGGGCGGGTCGACCGGGATCCGAACGATGACATGTTTTTTCTCTCTCTCTCTCTCTCTCTCTCTCTCTCTCTCTCTCTCTCTCTCTCTCTCTCTCTCTCTCTCTCTCTCTCTCTTCCTCCGACCCTGGTCCTCCGCGCACCACGTCCCAGTGAATCTCTCCAGGTCCTCGTTTCGTATCTTTAAAAGCGCGGGGAATAGCGTTACGCTGCTGCCCGGCGCAGTAGATGCGGGCACGTGCTGAGTTTCCATTGGTTCACATAGGATACGATGCTCTGAAGTGTCATAGAAGAGTGACACGTGTGCTGGATTTGTTGCGTCTGAGCTCTGCTGATCTGAGCTTGGCGCCACATTTTGCTTTCCAGTGGACCAATCACCTAGAATGTTCATCAAATGCGTGACTGTTTGTTTTTACGCAAGTAATGTTCCGGTGAGATCGGTCGCATTGGAGATCTATTCGTAATCACGCTGATTTTGGTTGACAACGGTGCGCCGGATCTAAATAATGGAATTTTCACGTGGGATGTTATTGGGTCTAGTAAGGCCCAATTTAGTCCAGGGGGCTCATTTGACGACCCACTTATTTTTTTATTATATATTTTTTATAGGACTACCCAATGAATTTTTATATCTGATAGTCCAAATTACTAAGGATTATTTTTGTTGACCAAAACATAATATTTTCCAGCCAATTATTGACCGAAACATTTAAACTAATATATTTATCTGTTTGAGGTCCATTAATTGGTTGGACTCTTTGTTGATTTCTTTTGTGTTTGAAATATAAATTATATTTCCGTTAATTCGTTGCTTGATTCGTGATAAAATTTAATTAAAATTTGTGCGTCTTGAGCTGAAAGATTCACACAAGTTCAATATCCTACCCATGATCCAACGGTCAATAGGCCGAACCAGAATCAAAGGCCTTCCTCATATGACACGAGTACAAATTGTTTTAGCTTCTACCCGCCAAGGGCAAGACACGCAATCGCTGAGCAACGGCAATAGGTTCCGTGCCAAATGGATATTTTGGTAATTTCGGACAAATAACTGACCTCTTGCGCATATAAATACATGTGGAGTCTCATTGTTTGAAACCGTAGGCAGAGAGAGGGAGTGGAGAGAGAGGGAGAGGAGAGAGAGAGCGAAGGGGTCTGAGAGTGAGAAGAGGAGGAGCAGAAAATAGAGAGCAAAACTGGAGAAATACTCCACAATTTTTCACAAAAAACCACCTGATTTCGTCAGCATTTACGAATTGGCCCCAAACTTTTCCCGCTTTCGCTCTCAAATTGATCTAAATGAGCCGTTTAGGGTTTAAGTCCGTGGTCTTCCACGGCGACCTGTGTTTGGGAGAACTGGATGCTATTCCGGTGAAGGACCAGAAGTTCCAGTTCCCGAACAATGAGATTCGAATCAACCACATATCGCAACAAAGTGAACGATGCCCTCCTCTCTCAATTCTCCAAACGATTTCGTCAGTTTCGGTTCGATGCAAGCTCGAATCGACCTCCCCTGTTGAACAGAACCATTTGATCAATCTTCACGCCTGCTGCTTCTACGAGTTCAAGGTCCCACTCAATTGCTCCGCTTTCCCATTTTTCGCCTTTTGTTTATTTAAATTTTTATAGATTGAGTTTTCCGTTTGGTTCCCGAGAAAATGTACCGCCAGCATAGAAAAACAATCCGAAGTTTCGTGATATTCATTGATTTTCTAAACGCTTAGTTAACTGGGATAGTGAAGCTAGCTCAGTTAATATCTTAATTGAGGAAGAATATGATCTAGGTTTTCTTTTTTATTTTCTCGCTAATCAAGAGGAGTGTAATAATGCGGTGATTTGATTTTTTTATGCAGACTGCGGTTGTAGTGGTTGGTGGTGAAGAGATTCACTTGGTGGCAATGCCGAGTAAGCAGAAGAAGTTTCCATGCTTTTGGTGCTATGCGGTTCCTGTAGGTCTGTACAGTGCCTCACTACGAATGCTGAATCTAAGGTGTCTCTCAATTGTGTTTGATCTCGACGAGACGCTGATTGTTGCCAACACCATGAAGTCTTTTGATGATAGAATTGAGGCTTTACGAAGCTGGATTGCACGCGAGAGTGACATGGTGAGAATAGCCGGAATGTCTGCTGAAATGAAGCGGTACATGGACGATCGGTGGCTGTTGAAGCAGTACATAGATAATGATTGTGTGGTGGATAATGGAAAGGTGTACAAGGTTCAACAGGAGGATGTTCCTCCGCTGTCTGATAACCACGAGAAAATTGTTCGGCCTATCATTAGATTGCCAGAGAAGAACATTGTGCTCACTCGCATCAATCCCGAGGTTTGGAAGATCTTCTATTCATGCTTGTTAGTTTATTTATGTTTCGTTTGGTTTCCTTTGTGGATTGGTAAGTGGAGAAGTATAGAATGACGGAAAGCAATTCATTATACAAAATGCTCACTACTGAAGTAAAAAATGTTGCAATGGGGTTAAGATGGATTCAATAGTTTGATTACATTTTCTGTAACAATTCGTCCATTAGCTTTCATAACTAGTACTTGTGAAGACCAACCCAATCAAAAAGATATGAAAAGAACGTAGTTTGTCCTTAAGCAGAGACAGTTCGGGTGCATGTTGATGTTGCATAATGTTGTTTGCTCAACTAAGTATTACGTTTTTGCATTTGGGTGGGCTGCTTAGGTTTTCTGACATCTGCAGTGTATTTAACAACATTTGTTTGGCCAATTGTCGATCATTTGAGGCATGCATTAATTTTTACTGAGTGTTCTTTATTCTGCCTTCTTTGCAAAATTCATTGTCATTTGGATTAGTCAGGAACTTGTACAGTATTGGACTAATTATCTTCTTACAACAATATAGAATGATGGATAAGTAGCTGCATTTTATGAGATATATTTGATTCCATTGATTCCAGTGTGCAGAAGGGTACGATATAATATCACTTTTTAATGCAGATTCGTGATACCAGCGTGCTTGTGAGGTTACGACCTGCGTGGGAAGATTTGAGAAGTTATTTAACTGCAAAAGGACGCAAGCGGTTTGAAGTTTATGTCTGTACCATGGCTGAAAGGGATTATGCCTTAGAAATGTGGAGGCTTCTTGATCCAGAGTCACACCTAATAGGTTCAAAGCAACTTCTGGACCGTGTTGTCTGTGTCAAAACAGGTAAGCATCCAAACATGATGGTAACTAACAGTAAGAAATTGAAGTTTCCAGTGATGGTATAACCAGTAGAAGCTGTTGCTTAAATAGTTGCTTTAGCACATTGGTTCTAACCCTCATGGTTCTGGACTTATCAGGCTCCAGGAAATCATTACTCAATGTCTTTCAACATGGAGTGTGCCATCCAAAGATGGCAATGGTAATTGATGACCGTTCAAAGGTTTGGGAAGATAAGGATCAACCTCGAGTTCATGTAGTTCCAGCATTCACTCCTTATTATGCTCCTCAAGCAGAGGTGCTAAATCTGTCTTCCTAAGATTTTTCTTAACGAAAGCTTGTTTTTGTTTTCATAAGATTCTTAGTTTGACAAGTTCCTTTTCTTTTCCTTACCTTTTATTTTACAGACAGCAAGTCCCGTTCCCGTCCTCTGTGTTGCAAGAAATGTTGCATGCAATGTCAGAGGTTGTTTTTTCAAGTAAGATAGGTTAATGCTATGTGGTTAATTTAATAATAAGTTCTGTGGGAATTGTCTTTGTAATTGATTTTCTCCTTTGCAATGCCATTGTTTCCAGAGAGTTTGATGAGATTTTACTGCGAAGAATTTCTGAAGTTTTTTATGAAGATGAGGTGGTAAATTTACCTCCTGCTCCTGATGTGAGCAATTACTTGATGTCTGAGGTATGTGAATTAAAAATGTTCGATTTTTATATCAATTGAATGAAACTTTGTTTGCATGTCTATTCTTTTATGGTATCGTCCCGATGTTTTGAATTACAGGATGCTGGTTTGGCAACCAATGGAAATGTTAATGCTCCTGTTAGTGAAGGAATGAATGGCGGTGAAGTTGCAAGGAGAATAAACCAATCTGTAAGCTTTTCCTCTGTATGGCTTCTGTTATCTTTCATCTGAGTCAGAAAATGAGAGCAGGGGAAACATTTTGTGTCTTTAAATTAGCGAATTAGCATGTTGTGTGCATGTGTCATGATGATAATTTATCGTTCACATTTTGAACAATTATATTTTTCAGGATGACAAGTTTGGTACAGACTTAGTGGCTCATTCTCTGAAAAATCATGCTGAGGCAAGATCTGACAACTCTCAGGCACCTGTTGCAATTCTTCCCAATGTCGTTGGTGCAGCATCTTCGAGGCCGGTCATGCCTTCTCAGAGTATGAGCTTCATCTCATGATATTGGTTTTGAAAGTATTTCGTGGTGTTATACTGCCTAGCTTTTATACTAAGTTATCTCCAATTATGCCTCAGAACCTGGTTTGCTTGGACCTCCTGTTAGACGAGACAGCTTTTCTGATCGTGACTATGAAATGAAGAGAGGACTCCTTGGTACAAATCCTGGTCTAGATATGAGAAATCAAACCTCTGCTGAACTCCTGCATCTCTCTAGGGTACCTGCACAAATGCCAGCATCCTCAATACATGCACAAGGGGGATGGTTGGTGGATGACGACAACAATAGAGGAATTCCGAGTAATCGACCTTCTGGGTTTGTTCAACCGCCTGACATCATAAAATCTGAAAAGCTAGTTCACCAGAATCCTTTTAGTCCTGCTACACCAAGTTCTACTCCCAGTGGTTTGCTCTCACACAAATCTGATGTGAAAAGGGAAGAGGTATGTTCAGAATTCTTTGAAATTCATTTTGGAATCACTCGCTGGTTTTGACAATCTTAATTAAGGTGTTAATAAGCACTCTGAAAATGTCTCGGTGGTCAAAATCTCTCTATTTGCAGGTATGCTCTGGACAAGATTTACAAAAACAAAATCTTCCTCCTCCAAGTCAGCTATCAGGTAAGTTAATTTATCACATGGTACAAGAGCTTGTACGCACAAGAATTGGGCATCTTCTTTTGATGACTCTACCGTTGGTATTTTTGTGCAGAGGCTGGTGCATCCCAGAATCAGGCATCTTCTTTTAATAGAGAATCTCAATTAGAAACTGCAAAAGTGAACCTCCTGCCGTCCCCTTTATCTATTGGAGTGCTGCAGGAAATTGGACGAAGATGCAGCTCAAAGGTAGAATTAGCTTGAGTTTTATACACCCCCCCCCCGCCCCCCCCTCCCTCCCTCCCTCTTTCTCTCTCCCTCTCTCTCTCTCCTTTTTT